GTTCACTGAAAATTTGGACTCAGTGCTCATGTCAAGGATGTCATGGTTTAGCTGTCTTGTTTCTGCTTCAATAACTTATATGCTTCTTGTGTCTGGTGTACGCAGCTTCTAGCTCACAGATCCTTTGCAAGATAATGCTTAACACAGCAGCAGTCCCAAATCCCACACCAGAGATTTGGAATAGGAGGAGGATGGAGTCACACCAGAATTTGATGAATTGATGCATCCTTCATGATTAAGACACTGACCTTGTTGTCAGTATCTCTCTTAGACATTGGGATATTTAAGCATGACTTTGCTTCTACAGAGGCAGTTTTTGCCATTCTTGTTCATACAGGCTGTTTTACTGTGTGAGCAGCCCTGCTGATTTTTGTGGAGCCACTCAAAGGAAAAGGTACTAGGTAGCATAAGTCAGGAAGTCATCAATGTGGTAAAGGATTAAAATATTAAATCTGAAATTAAATATTTTGAGTTTCACAAAATATTTTTTCAATATCCACTAAAGAATTTTTTCTTGAACTCACTTCCCAGAGTTTCAATGGGTTTGTGATATTTCAAGATTTAAAAAGTCACATGAAATGGAATTATTGCTCCTGCATAACTTTCTACATAAATTTTCTTGAAACTACAGTTTATTTCCTCCTAAATTTTCTAATCAGTAAGACTGAAATTTTTCCATTCTAGGTATCAGCAAAATCTTCAGATATTTTGAAATGAAAGTAAAAGGAAATATTTTTAGGTATTTTTTCCCCATAATGTTCCAGAAAACAGCTTCTCAAGAGGATCTGAATTTTCAGGGGTTTGAAGCAAGGCACTGAGATTTCTTGGGGGTGAACAGTGATGCTGGTGTCATATACAAATATGTGCCCCTTGGGCCCGTTCTCCAGAAGAGCCTTTTTATTGTTTTGGCAATGCAATTATTTTTTCTCTTTGTGTATTGCTTTATGTTATTTATCACAATGTCTTTTACCATTCAAACCAAAACTGTGACCAGAAACAGACACACAGTACTGGAAATGAGTTGTAGGAGGGTTTCAGTGCCATGACCCTTCCAAAAAGCTACTCTCCTGTTACAAACAGTTTTGATCAACTTCCCCAGCACTGTCCATCCTCTACAATATCGCAAAAATGTCACAGGATTCTTATATTATTAGTACTAGTAGTATTACCTTATTTGTATTGGTTGTTATTATTAGTATTATTTGTATATAATAGTATATTTTTGGCATTATTTCACTTAAGGTATGTAGAAGTATGTTTCTGAAGTACCTCTACCATTTTACTTGGTTTCCAGGTGAGAGCAAGAGTGAGCAGGAGAAACCTCAGTGCAACTAGAATTTTTTTAAAAATTGCAACTCAAAACCACTAATCCAGTTATACTTTTATTCCTGATTATTCTCAAAACTGACTGAACACGATTCATGATCTGCTGGCTGCCTGTGGGTGACTTCCTTGGTTATTCCCCAAATACAGGAAAACACCTGTATTATACTTGGGCAAATAGTTTTAAAACCAGCTACGGATTATGTTTTCCTCAGCTGTGGGTGATTTGAGTTTCTTCTTGGGTGACTGTTCAATGCACAGTAAAAATACAGTGCCTTGATAAACGACACAGAACATCAAAAAATAAACCAATCGCTGCCATGCAAAACCATGAGACACTTGCAGAAAACTTGGCCTCAAGTTTCAAAGCTGTTCTCAAATTACTGTGTTATTCCTGCACAAGGAAGGGAAGATTGGAGTGGGACATTTTTTCAGAGGGAAATTTGTAACCTGTCATAGACCAGTATAAGCCTATGTGTGACGTCCCCCATCTGACACCCTTCAGACCAGGCATCCTGAATCTTTGTCCCCAGCACCTTAGGCATGTCCTAAATGGCTTGTCTTAGTGGGTCTCAATTAGAATTAAGAGAGAGGCATAGTCCTGTGTAGCCAGAGCAATGCAGAGGAGAAAGTCATCTACAGGGTAAATCCACAGATTTGTACTGATGTTCCCCATACCAGTATATCAGCTTCCTTTTTAAAACATGAATGAAGAACCAAATATACTGGGAAGGCCAAAAGGACTTTAGCTCCATCTGTCTTTCCCAGCCAGTTATTAACCCAGTGGCTAGTCTGTAGTCCCAGTCATCTAACTGGAGAAGCAAGTGGTAACACCATTATGGAAGTGGCAGCAGCCACCCCAGTTTTACCCTTCCCACAGGATTAGGTTGGTTTCCACACTGTCAGTGTCTATTCCAAATCAGGATAGCAGTTCAGAGAGTCAGGAGGACTGGGCAGGAAAATACAGGTGAGGGACAAAGGATTGAAACTGTGAGCCAGATTAGAGGTATAAGCCCTGGGACTTGCCACGTAGGACATAAGGAGGAGGAAGGTTGGAAAAGCAGAGATTCAAGTCACATAAGAAACAAATAAGGAAGCAGGAGTTTCCTGCAGATGAGAGGATATGTTTTTTGCCCACGCTGGCCCTCTTGGAGAGGGAAAAATGGAAAAATATGTTGTTAAAAGAGTGTGTAATAGTTTGTATGCACAATAGACATTATGTATGTTATACTATATGTATGTGAGCGTACATCATATACATGCAATAATCTTCACAAAATTAATACAAAAATGCATCCTGTGTCTCCACAGAAGTGTGTGATCTGTATTAGGTCAATTTCAATGGCTTTGAGGACTCAAAAATGTATGTAAATAAGTAAAAACGGCACATATATGGAAATTCTAAGGCTCATAACATACATGTATGCATATGCTGATATTCAGAATGCACATGTAGCAGCATACTAAAGACATTTTTAAAAAGCCAGATTATTCCTTCTGCTTTTTACAACAAAAGTTTAGAAATTACTAAAGTAAAGTTAAAAATAAGTGATGGAAGGCCTATTAGTATATACTTTTGTTGTTTTATTCTTCTGGGAACTTCTGATGCTGAAATTTTGATGGGATTTTGTCCTCTCTGGTTATTCATGCTTAGAGACATAAGCAACCTCAACTTGGTTTTCTGTCATCCTCGCTCCAATAAGAGTCTTGTAGCTCAATTCTAACATCAATCACTTGGACTATAAATCTCTGCAATTGATATGGCCATTTAAATCTCCACCTGCATAAACAACAATCAGGCCTAGAAAATAAGGAGGCCCATAAATCTCCATTGGTGATTAGTAATATTTTAGATCTGTACCAGCAATGTTATAAAGAAAAAAAAAAGGCAAAAAAACCCCAAAACTAATTCACTAATTAGGATGGATACACTGACAATCTGTTTAATTTATACACAGAAAAACAGAAACTGGGCACAGTTAACACTACATGATGTTAGAAGTCAGTGAATTCCCAAGAGCCTGAGGGTTGGAGATATAGATATCTTAGTGTACTTATCCTATTGTGACTGGGAAGGTGTTACCTTCCAGACAAAGAGTAAGGTTTAGAGTTTAGATTTGCCCTTTTTTCTTCTGACTGAAGAAACCAAGAAGGCAACATGGATCAAGACATAGGCAACACCTCCTTGCTGGTTGTCAAAAATGACACTCTGCCTGCTACTGAAACTTGAAATCTGCAGACAGTGCAAAGCATTCAGCAGACTTACCATTTTGGCCCTCCACAATTTTTGTTTGGATGGTTGTTTTTTAGTTAGTGCATGCAGACAACTCTATGTGATGCTCACACAGATCAGTAAGAGACTCCTTCTGTCACTCCAGTGACTTTGGATTAACTATCAAGCCACATCTGAGGCTGCAAATTTTTGTCTGGAGCTATGTGAATCCTCAGGTAAGCAGTTGAATAAGTGCTTACTTATGCAATCAGATCAGTCCCTGTGCCCAGAGAGGTCCCGTGTGCAGATTGTGCCCAGCTCTTCAGTCCCCTGTGTACAAAACCCAGGCTGCTGGGGCACCTGCGAGGTTTCAGGAACTGTGTGAGGGGGGAAAGGAGCTATGGGAGCAAGTTCGTGCTTCACTGACCTCTTTGGGCTCCACATGTGGGTTTAGGAGACTGTTTTAGATGGAGAAGAAGAAGGGATAAGACAAGGTTAACTGCTTTTAAAAGCCTGTTCTGCTGAGACTGAATACACATGTGCATAAAGATTGTAACAGCAGCATATGTCTGTTCATTCAAACTACACAGCAACCCGCTAATTCACACTTGTGGTAAAACCACTGGGAATGTTTGGCTGTGTTGCAAAGCCCAGCCTAATGCCCTCAGTCCCATCCTCTCACAGAAGGGGTTTTATCCCTTATCTCACCTCTTTATTCAGGCAAAACTCCCTGACTTTTGAGCACCCATGAACTGGCAGACAAAACACAGGTACAGCAGAATGAACCACTGACATCTGCTCTGTAATCACACACCGAGAAAAGGTTTTTTTTTTCTGAGGGATCTCTACCATCCAATAACCCTCATACTTTTCCTTCATTTCATGCACACCCTTGCCACCCTATTGGCAGCCCACCCCCACCCCCCTCCCAGCAGCATGGCACTCCCCTCAGCTCAGTGGGGCTCATGGCCAACCAGGATCTTGGCCACCCAGGACACCTGCGGACCAGAAATCTTCCACAACATTTACAGCTGGGAGTGAAAAGGGACTGGGACTTGTTGGATGTCACCCCGGAAGGCTGGAAGAAGTCAGATCTTCCAGCCTCCAGCCCCTGGGCTGTGACGGCAAGGTCCACACTGCTGGACAGGCAGAGGAGCACTCCCTTCCTGGAATATGCTACTAGCTGGACAGGATGCATTTGCAAATATAATCATCCACAAATCTCCCCCAGATTAGGTTACAGGACAGCGTTTCGACAGCACGCATTACAAAGCTCCCTGGAAGGCTTGGCTGGTGGATCTGCTGCTCTCTGTGCTCATGACCCATTTTGGCTTTCATCAAGAATCATGACACCAGCTGCCTGGGTCATCTAGGAGGCAGAGAGGGGGAGAGCAACTCTGGGGCTGAAAAGGGAAGTGGGGAGGGAGAAGAGGAGGAGAAGGAGGAGGAGGAGGAAGGGGGAGGATAGAAAGACAGAGCAGGGGAACAGAGTGCGAGCAAGTTGTTTTAGTCCAGTTGTGAAGATTTGAATCCCAGTTCTGAGCTCTCGGCAAAGGCTTGCTGGGATACCTCATTCTCTGTCCTGTGTAAAGGTCTGTGATTGGGGATGTGGTGTGCTCAGTGGGCAGGGCCCCTCCCCTGGGCTGGATCCGCCTCTCTTATCCCCCAGATAAATTACTAGTGTCCTCACTAAATTCCTCGGCTTTCTCGCTCCCTCTTTCTCTCCCTCTCTCACAATCTCCCTCCCTCAGGCACAGGCAAAGCAGGGTTGGGGGGCGGGAGGGCGTGGATCCTTTCTGGACTGGTATCGTGCCTTAGTCCTGGGCGGGGAGGGAAGGGGAGGAAAATACTGGCACCCCTTCTCTCCTACACGGCCTTGAAATAGATTCAAGGAGCTGCTCTTCCTCCCCCCCTCCCCCTTTCCTGCTGGTCGTTTGGCATCTTCCAGACCATGTCCACTGGGTCCCTCAGCGATGTAGAAGATCTGCAGGAGGTGGAGATGCTGGAATGCGATGGCCTGAAAATGGATACTAACAAAGAGTTTGGGGCGTCCACCGAGAGCAACGAGGAGGGATCCAATGGCGAGAATGGCTCCCCTCAGAAGGGGAGAGGGGCCTCGGGCAAGAGGAAAAAAGCTCCCCCCAAGAAGAGCCCTTTAAATGGAGTGAGCCAGGAGGGAAAGCAGGTACAGAGAAATGCTGCCAACGCCAGGGAGAGGGCAAGGATGAGGGTCCTTAGCAAAGCCTTCTCCAGGCTTAAGACCACCCTGCCCTGGGTGCCCCCAGACACCAAACTTTCCAAACTGGACACCTTGAGATTGGCCTCCAGCTACATTGCTCACCTGAGGCAGATCCTGGCCAATGACAAGTATGAAAACGGCTACATCCACCCAGTCAACTTGGTAAGTCAGAGCCCGCTCGGGCCAGGCACTCTTCGCGTGTACATGGGTAGAGGTGGGTGAGAAGCTGGGATGGGGCATGTGCAGGGACAAAATTTCACTGTGCAGTCATGTGCCAGTGGGATGGAAAGCAGTAGTGTGTGAGGGAACAGGGTCCCAGCTACCCTCTTGCCCTGTATCTCGCACACCAAGCCTTCTGGGCCCCCTCTGCTGTTCCTAGCCATCCCCTCCAGAAGACAGGCAGGGGCCATGCTGACCACAAATAGACAGGGGTAGGCTTTACTCTTTACTGCCCCAGAAATGCCTGAGAAACCTCAGAGGGTTGATGGCAGCTTTCTACCTGCAAGTAGGCAGGTACAGGAATTTGGGTAGAAAAGAGTATGTTTGAGGAAGGGCCTAAGCCAAGGACTTGGGATTTATTCTTATCCTGCATCTCTACCGTAATGTTTCCTGTCATAATAGTCCCCTCAAGCCCTAACTTTTTAAAGACAGAACTCTTGGGGCTCTGTTCTCAGCCACTCAAGTTTGCTGGGTCCAGGATATTTCTCCTATCCGTGCAAACTGGTAAAGGAGAAATAAATACAAGTGCGGACTCCCCAGGGAAGGTGTCTGCCCCAGGCACACTCCACAATGCCTCTCCCTGGGCTGTGCGGTGTCCTTCCTGCTCTCCCACCACATACTGAAAGTTTTCCCAAGCAGCCTGGGGTCTCTCAACCATATCCAGCCACCAGAAACATCCGATTTCCAGCTCTAAAAATACATACAAATGATGTAAACCAGGGGCGAGCAAGATCTCCCTGGGCTCTTTTTAGACTTTGTACAGGCTTTACATTACCCACACATGTGGATCCTGATGCATAAAGGGATCACAGAGGGGATCTGGGGACAATTCGCTAGGGTCAGACTCTTCCTTTTGAGCTCTGGACTCTGAGGGAAAGTACATTACCCGCTGTTAGCTGATAAGGGCCTGGGAAATAGTTTGTGATTAAGATAAAAATCCTCAGCGCAACGACACGGGGGAAAAAATGAAGTAAAACAAAACCAACACCCAATACTGATACAACACACACCCCTGCTCCCACACGGAGGCACACCAAAGCATACTCCCCGAGCCGCAGGAGGCCGGGGAGAGCGGCCGGGGACTGCTGGGGCCCCGAGCGGCTCCTGCCCCCAGAGAGCGCGGCGGGGCGAGAGGCGGGTTAGGGTCCCCACGCCGGTCAAAACCAAGCGCGGGGGCGGCGCGCCTGCGACGGGGTGCCCGAGGCGAATGTGCCGGGGGGATGCAGAATGTACTGAAGCCGGGCGGCTTCCTCCCCACCTCCTTTCTCCGTCCCTCCTGTCGCGGATCAGACGGGTTCCGCCGCCCCGAGGACGCCCGGAGGGACCGCCACGGCTGTGAGGCAAAACGACATCAGCCGCCGGCAAAAGATTCCTCGCCGAAGTCAGCGGCGACTGCCCCGGCCTGAGCCCCGCTGAGCGCTGCCTGAAGCGGGCTCAGGCGGTGGATGCCGGGCTCGGTCCCCCCGGGCACTCCCGAGCCGGACCCGCTGGCAAAATGAGCGTTGCAATTTGCATTTTTCCCTATGTAACCCCCTTCCCACCCGTGTCTTTTCCTGGCTACAGACTTGGCCTTTTATGGTAGCCGGCAAACCCGAGAGTGACCTGAAAGAAGTGGTGAACACAAACCGCTTGTGCGGCCCGACGGCATCCTGAGCCCCGCGGCCGGGCCAGCAGCGTCCGTCCCGGCGCGGCCGGGGAGCGGGCAGGGACCCGCCGCGGCCCCGCCGCTGCCCCGGGCCCCGGGCAGAGCCATGGGGAAAGCCGTTCCCCCGGCGCAAAGGAGACCAAATGTGCCCTAGCAAAGACTCCATCCACCCCGAGAGATCCCGACTCTATTTAACTTTATTAAATGCGTGTACAGTTGAGTGTCCTGCAACCACAGCCTTGCTGGTTCAAGCGCTACTAGAGAGAAAAGACAGAGATCAAACAAAACCTACCACGCGTGTATCTTTTGTCTGAGACCTGTGAAATATGTAGATGCCTAGAAAAACTGACTTTGACAGTCATCTCTATGAAGTAATTCAACCTAAAGATATACAGATATATTTTCTTCAAGCAGGTTCTGCTCTATTTCTGTGAATAAACCTTCCTTTCTACTGAACACGGAGCGGTGAAAGTGTTCGTTTGCGACTCTCGGGCTCGCCGGGGTAAGGACTGTGCCTTCGCTGCCTCCGCCGCTCCCCGAAGCGACCGCGCTGCGGGGATCCTTTCTCTCCGCCCCGGCCCACGGGAGGTCTGCTTCCCTGGAGCTGGAGACCTGGAGCAAACCCCTGGAGGAAGGGGTGACCGGGCCCGCAGCTCGTCCTCGCTGCAGGAGCCCAGTCCGGCTCCGCAGCCCGGCGACCGGGCACTGCGGGAGCCGCCCCCGCCGCTCCGATCCGCTCCGCGGGGACAGGAGCAGTGATCTATTGATAAAGTACAGTCGGTCCTCAGTGCTGGGAATTTTTAACTTAAACATCTCTTCTCTATCGATCAGCGCGCCCGCGGGAGATGAGGCTGAGATAAACAGGAGTGCGGGGCGCTCCCCCTGCACCAGCAGCGGCCGCCGGCAGCTGATGCGCCAGATCCCACCACGCTGTTTAATGTTTCAGGGTTATGACCGCACTGTTTACAAGACGTCTTCGGTTATTTATACTGTTATTATTAGCAGAGGGGCTTTAAATTTCCGCCTCACTTGCTCTTTCAATACCATCCCGCGGTTCCGTTTGATACCTGTGTACTTTCTGGCCGAAAGCACGAGAGGGGCAGCAGGGGCTGCAGGGCCGTCCCCCGGACCAAGTCCTCCGTCTCGGCCAGTTGCGGGGGGGCGGTGGCAGGGTCTGAGGCACGGCCACAGGCAGCGCGGGAGCCACAGGTATCCCGCAGGCAGGCGCTAAGCCTCCCTGAGCATCTGTGCAGCCTGGATTGTGTTTATTCTCATCCCCCACTTTTCCCTGAGATAACTGGACGAGGTGGCACGTCCTCCAGGCAACCCAAATTCACCAGTTGGGTTCATGCGTGGGCTAGGCTAGGTTTAATTAAAGCAGCTCACTGCAAGCCGAGGGCTGTGCAAACATCTCGGCCTTCATTATGGAAAGAGCCAGAGCCTGCTGTATCGTCCTAATGGTCTTGAAGGGGGGAGCTGTTTAATTTCACTTTTTCACAGCTTTATCTCCATCCCACACAATTAAAAGCAGACCTCTTCGCCTGGCCTAACCATGTGCAACTTCAACTGTGATGAGCGGGGCCACACCAGGTGAGACATGCAGTTACACACAGAGGACTGACTGACTTTACTGCCAAACACATACCCTGAATAGCCACCACTCTAGCAAAGAGATGAGTAACATCTGAACAGGCTCATCTTTTTGCTACAAGCACTGGGAAATTCAGTGGGAATAGTCTGTTAAAGGGAGACAGAATAGAGGCCCTTTGCCTTAAGCAAAGTGCAGATGACTAATATGGCAAATGCATATTTTAACTAGTAAATTTACCTCACTGCATTGAAATTAACTACTAGATTTAACCAGTCAAAATCTTGACTTCAATCCCTACTAACTAACACCTGCTCAAGACTCATAGCTAAGTGCTGATTTCCTTCTAGAAAGAAGAAACTGATATTCATAACATTGAGTTGAATTCGAAATATTCTAAACCGTGCTTTTTTGCCACCCTGCTTTGCAATGCTTGCTAACTGCACTCAGTATCTTCCCAGCTAATTGAGTTAACCATATGCAGTGTTCATTTGCCACCTGAAATTCACCACTGAAGAAAGAGAAGGGAGAAATACAATAGTACCCCGTGAAATGTGAGGAATACAGCTGCAACCATGTGCCAAAAGCTGCAGGTCAATGGAACGGTAAGAAGAGGCTGTAGACACCATTACTTCTGATGCTGCTCTTCACTTTATCTAGCAGTCTACATTGCAAGCATATTAGGGACTAATCTATTCCTCAAGCATCTTCCACCTTCCTCAGTCCTTTCCTCTGAGCAACAGTGCAGCAACCAAAAAAAGGGTAAAAGCAACAAGAGATAAACAAAAGCAACCAGCAATACACAGAAAGGTAAATAACAACTTTTACTGTAAAATAATTAGTAGCTTTATCTCCATTTTGAAGGCAATGAATATATTTTCCAGAGGTATTTTTATGTCTGGGAACTCTTGGTCCACTGATTTCTTGTGTAAGGGCAGAGACCTAACGGTGTTGGCAGTTGGCTTCAACAGCCCAACTTTCTTAGATGAATTAAGAGGTCTACCACATATCTGAGGAGAAAAACAAGTGAAATTATTCTGCCCTGCTGATGAGTGCAATTTTACTGCAAAATATTTTCAAACAGAAAATGTATGCCTAATCTGACTGAAGCAACTCATGATTTTGAAAGGAACTTGCAAATGTGCTAAGGAAAACAGGGAATAGGTTTAAATATTGATGTTAATGATTTTAAAGAAAATATTTTGTTTTCTTTCTTGCTTTTATGTATAAAGTGATGCATTTTCATATTTATCAAATTATACTTATACTCCTTCTCCACGTGGAAACACAGTTGATTTGGTTTATCTTTCTGTATCTACATGAATGTAGATGCAGCTGTGTGAGTGTCTGTATACATTCCCTCCTAATAATATTTCAAGTCATTGCCTGATTTCAGCTGAATTTGACAGAGGTCTCAAAGATAACTAAGTTACTGTAATTTTTCATTTTTCTGTGAAAACAGGCAGCTGAGTAGAGAATAGAAATAGTCTTTAAATTCTGAATTTAATTTCAACATGAACTCAGCCTTTATTAGATTCCAAAGCATACAGAGCAGAATGCAGTTGCAGATGAAGCTCCAAACACTGTTTCAATCACAGGATACAAGTTCACAGAAAATTTGCTTATGGATCTATGTGTTTTAGACAAGAACTCTAGAAAAGTTTAGTCTTATCTGATTTTAATATTATTATTCTTTCTTTTTTTGTTTTCTTTTCTTTTTGTTGTTGTTGTTGTTGCTGTTGTTTGGAAGGAAGGAAACCGAGTATCACCCTGCTATTTCATGACCATTTTTCAGTTCAGCTAGAGACTAGAAAAATCCTTTATTTGCAGTGCTGCACTCAGTGCTTGGGCTCCTGGGTTTGGTGGTGACATTGTACTGCCTTTGCAGCAGTTTTCACAGTCTGTAAGGTCTTTAGGAGCAAGAATTTTTCCATCCAGTACAGAAAATACATTTTAGGCTTATCTTATCCTCTCACTGGGATGGAAATCTGCCATCCTGAAACATCAGCATAGCAAGAAGCCCACTTTACAGACACCTGCAAATGCCTTGCTCTCCTGGGCGCTGGCTGGGGCAGCAAGGTCACGGTGATGATCATGCCCCCAAGCTGCAAAGTGCATAAGGAGATCATGGGCAATATTGCTCATTCTTTAAAGTGCCTCCAAGGTCAAAATTCCCAGCTCACCTCAGAAACAAAAAGACATAGAAAATCTGTGTGGTTTCTTCTGTAGGGAAGCTGGTTTGAATCCTGGATATAATGACTGGATCGCAAGCACAGGTTGGTTTTGGTAACCCCACACTCGGTAACCCCACAGTTGTGTCTGCCTGAAAAAATATGTTTCTTTGTTAACAAATTGCATATATTTTTCAAAAATACATTTTTCAAAATTTTCAAAATTTTTCAAAAAAGGCAATTTTTGCTGAAACCCTATTATCATTACCATTCATAATTATTTCTAGTAAAAAAATAAAATATGGGAAAGACATCTAATTGCAGGTAATATGCTTTTTAAAAGAGAACAAATCTTATACATATATGGTGTACAAGTGGAGAGTATAATCTGATATAATTGCAGGGTATTTCTAATTTTTATCTGGATATCTGAATTTAGATTAGAACTCATGGTCTCACAAAAGGGACTGACAAAAGAAATTTCAATGACATTGAAGTGAATTTCAATTTCGATGGAACAAAACTGAAATTTGTGGCAGCAAACAAGAGCATTCTGTTCTCTCCATTTATACACACCTGGAAAAACCGCCATACAGAATTTCTCCTGACAGCCAGAGACTCAAATTGTTCATGTCCGTTGCTGGCCCATTTAGCACCGACTACTCCTGCATTAAGGCTGTGCTGTCAAATGCAGGCCCATAGGGTAAATATAACCTTGTGCTCACTATTCAGCCATTAATTGCTTCATGCTCTTCAGCCCAGCATACTTTATGGATGGGAAGTGGCACAACCAGTAATAATGGCACTTTTTTGTCTATACTGCTGCAAAGCTACTGATGTGCTATGGCTTTGTGAATTTCTCCAACCCTGAGAAGATGTCATAGGTCTGACCTAAAAGCTATGCTTTGGGAGGGATGGGAAAAAGCCACATGTTACCTTCGCGAGGATTGCTGCCAGCAGACTCCAAACTCAGCAAAGTTCTGCAAGTAACTGATTTTTCTTCAGTTCACTTCAGACACTGGTGCCTCTGAGTATAAAACCAGCTTTGAGTAGGCCTAGGCATGCAGTCATCCCATTTCCGAAATGTGGCGTGGACATACCCTAGGGTCACAACAGCCCAGAGATGACGCATTTTCTTGCCTTAGTATTTTGCCCTTAAACTGAAACTTGTAAACAGATGAAATGTGTTTTCAAGCCAACGCGCATGTATGCAAACAGCTATGCGGTACTTACATAGCGAGTAGAAAGATCAAAACTTCCTTGCAAGCAGAAAAAAGATCATAACAAAAGAAGGAGAATAAAAACCAGTGCAAATCCTTCTTCCACTTTAAATTTTAAGACGTACTTTTCCTTCAGCAAACTAAAAAAACTCAACCCTTATTTAGACCTCAGGCTGCTGTGTTAACTGTAAGACCATATCTGACTGTAAATATGGCTTATCTGCACTCTCAAGTTTTTTCTCAGTTGTTTACATACTGTTTAAGAAACAAGAATCAGAAACACTAGGGAAAGAAAGGAAGGGTACAGCTATACAGCCAGGAGACAAGAAGAAAGGGGGGAAAATGCAAAAAATAATTCCTCTTCCTGTGACTATGATAGCTTAGTCCTTGCAACAGGAGGGTTGGGGAAGGGAGGAACTATCAGCAGCTCCATCACAGATGGGTGGAGCCAGACCACCAGGGAGATGGAAACCAGGAGGTTGAGAGCTGCAGCTGCCTTTTCTGGGAGGAACATCTGTGAAAGCCTGCACAGCAGCAGCAGAGGAGGAGGAGTGGGCACTGGCAGAAAACGTTCCCAGGGATGCGCTCACACAGATAACCGTCCCACTGGATGGTTTCCCAGGCTGTCAAAGTGGCACTTCCCTCCCCTGTCAGGGAAGAGGCAAAGACCATCATGTGTGACAAGCAGTTGAAGTGTCAGCACAGCCTCTCGCATCAGCATCCTATTTCCTGTGATGCTTTTCGATGGTTGAGCTAAGCAGAATGGGAACAGTTCTTCCTCACTAATAACACACAGTTTTGTTTCTTACACAGGGACTTTTATACTGTTGGCATCTCAAAGTCAATACACAAAGTACACAGAAGACAGGAGTTACCTGGCAGGATTTGGCCGTCCTCTCATGACCAAATGTTTTTCTATAGGAGGCCACTATCATTATACAGATGGGAAGAGGCACAGAGCTGACGAATGACTGGCTGAAGGTTCGCGTGTAAACCTGGAAAAGGCTTAGGGCACCAGCTCTTCTGGTGCACAAACCCATGAGCTGTTCTGGTAGGCACGCTGAAATCACCAGGGATCTTTGCTATCCTACAAAGAACAGGAATTGGTCGTAAGGAGGGATCCTCTAAGGCTGTATCTATGTCTACACCTACACTTGCTAGAATAGATAAACCAGGCTATTGACCATGCTCTGGTTCCAACAGTCGGTGCTGTGGCTGAGGTCACATCCACCCATACTTGTGTTTTATTCCACTCTCACCAAAAGGTAAGAACAGTCTCTGGCATACACTACTCCAAAGCATGCTTGGATAGTTTCTGGGAGAAAGTCAGACAGGCCAAAGGTGTAGCAAGGACCCTACTAAAACCCAAGCACTATGAAAAATAAGCCTTGGCTTTATTTTATTTATCAGTCTTACTGCAGCCTTAGAAGCTACAGCAATAGAGATACTCAATGCCTTTGTCTCACCCCAGCCTCATGCTCTTCTCACTTGTTTTCTACATCAACCTGCTTTCCTTTATGGGCCAAATTCTTAATGGAAACCCCCTTTGTTATTTGTATCTTGTAACTAATTTATATGAAGACTAAAGGTCACTAAAAGCAAGAGACCAAGTTCAAGAACAAACATAACAGGAGATTTAAACAACATTATATCCTAAATTATGACATTGAAAACCTCTGTTCATTTGTTATGCACTCTATTAAGCTTTACCGTACCTTTTCTACCTGAGTTGTTTGTTAGTTCCCTGACACTAAAATTTGACATATGCCCTCAGAGTACCTCTTTCTCACCACTGCCAATTAGCATCATGTTAACCTTGTGCCAAGATCTGAAATGGAGATAATCACCTACTTAAGTCCATGGGAAGGATTCAGACAGTCAGTAGGTGCTGTCTGTACATGCTTAATACCTTTCTGCTGGGGTAGGAAGCAAGCTGGGCAGGGCAAGCCAAGGCAAACACCCTCAGTTTGGCTACAGGTCAACATAGCATGGCAGGAAGACTGCTGAGGAACCAGCATTACTATCTTCCCCTACAATTTCTCTCTCATTTCCCTCACACTCAGTCTTCTGATTCTATCTTCACCGTGCCTCTCTGTTACTTCCAACAAAAGTTGGTATGCATCATCTGTAAATACCATTAAGTTGTAGAGGCTGAAACTACAGATATGTACTAAATTATTGCAAAGTTTACTAACAAAAAGCCTCATTCTGATAATTTGACTTTTATTTTGAGGTACTTCAACACCATTTTCTCAATATGCTTATGCTATATTAAATGGTATATCTAGCAATATACATTACACAATATATACATACACACACTATGTAATATATATACACTATATAAAAAATGTGGCATAAATATTTACATACTATACAGTAACTATATTTATCTTTTCTGTAAACACAAATATATAAAATAATATATATTATGAAATTAAACAGAATGTTTGAATACTGTGGAGCTGGTTTAAGTGCCACTTGCAGCAGGCAGGTAACAGTTTCACAGTGCTGGCATACTGTACATCATCAGAGAGGTGTGAGAAGCCAAAGCTGAGTTTACTGTTTCACCTGATAAACTAAGCCCTGGAGTGAAGGATTCCCTCCCTGACTGATCTCCTGCCACAGGTTTAAGCTCATTCTCTGATGGCTGTCAGCTTGGGAGTTGTCCTATAATTAACCTGCAGTATCATATGCATGCAGCTGGTGAACATTTCACACAAGGTCATTTCTATGGAATGTTTGCGACACAGGTTGCTCCTAGGTGCTTCCTCTTAACACACAAATATGCAATCCAATCTTCTGCATGGATTCTACAGTAGTTAAGTTGCAGCTGTTTAAAACTCTTCATCTAGACTTTGCTGTGGGCTGCCTCAAGGAGCCATCCGGCTTTCTTCTCCCCCCGCTACAGTTTCCCACAGAAAAATCCTTGCACAGGATTTTAGCTGATTGAAAGTTAATTCTGTAAAAACAGAAAAATCCGGATAACCAAGCATTTGCTTCAGTTTGATGAGCGCCTTTTTTTTTTATTAAAGAAACCTGCAGTTACGAATGAATAACAACATAATGAAGTTGCATCTTTGTTCACACTCATTGCTATAATTACTTAACAAAAAAATGTTCAGTGTCCTAAAGTTCAGTCATCCTTATTTTTACAGCACTAGTACTGATGGTCCCAAGCAGCCCATGATTACATGCTGCAGAACGTTCAAGCACAGGAAACACCCTCCTCACACCTCCATCTCCTCTTTACTTCCCAACAAAAGATTGAGAAACAAAGGCATAGGAAAATTATATCACACAGTACGGAAGTGACAGTGTCAGAAATGGCCTCTGTGCCTTCCCTGTCTGATGTCAATACAGCATTTGATAACTTAGAACAAGCAATAGCAAGAGGCAGATGAGGACACAGTTCCTGCAGGTGGGAAATCCTTAGCATCTCAGTCCTACTAGTGGAAGAAGCCACAGAGCCAAGTTGGAGTTGCATGGAGGAATAAAGACCAGGAAGGAGAGCACATAAGGACAGGATAACCAGTTTTATAACTATATAGATGTAGAATAAAATTGCAGGCACAATTTATAAACTTATAAGTCAAATTAGGTAGGTGCCCAATCACCTTATTTGCATTCCATGTTAATGTGATCATAACTACTTGCTTACATTTGCACATTTTCCAAATAGATATTTAAAGATGCAATCTTCAGAACATGTCCTAGTCTAAACAGGAAAAGCTCAGGTTGACAAAGCAGTCAAAACTTTGAAATGGTAAGGGTTCATCTCTTCATCAGTAAAAATAATTTTCATAATAACCAATGATGACTGCGCATTTCTGAGAAATACGTGCTAGAAAAAGTTATACCCAGAAAAGAGCAAGCACGTGGAGACTGACAATGGATGTGTACGTGCTAGCAGACATTTTGTTTTGAATTTCTGTAGACCTTTAAGGTTATGCTGAAAAAACACAAGCTCAGAACTCAAGCAAAATCAGGGGTATAAAGCTTTTCTTCATAACTTGTCTATGTGATCAGCTATTCAGAGAAAAATAAATCAGAATCTGTTGTGATACTGCCATACAGAACCTGAAAGAACTGTCAGAGAAGACATCAAACAATCTACCTCACTGTGGCTGTGTTAATTGTAACGACTCAAGAGCCTTTAGGCTGAATCCTATAAAGCACAAAATCAGCCTTAAGGCTCTCTGTAAAAATGCTGGAGATCCCGTGCTGAGTTACTGAACTATGGTAAATTCAGAATCCTGGTTTCGAAAAACTCGCCTTGCTTGACCATCTTCATATGAAGGCAGTAGGTCCGTGTCCGTAAGAAGCCGCGGGGTGGCGGTGCTGTCGCACGCCGGTGTGCAGCCAGGCTGCTAACGGAGAAGCAAAACCGGCTTTAACCATACTGTCACTGATGTACTCACGGCTGATTTAAAGTGAGAACTTGAAATAATTATTCTTGACGTGAACCTAGTAATGCATTTCAAGGATTAAGCTGAATCTAGCAGAGGAAGATATGCCAGCTCTGAAGACTTCAAAATTTAAATTTCATAACTGTTCCCTCTATCCTAAGTATTCTGCTACCACATCACACAAGGAAAATACATAATTACAGATCCTCAGTTACAGGAATTTGTCAATACAGTGAATATTCTGCAGTACATCCATATAGATATACATATATATACTTTTCATGTAAAGACCAACGTGTCTTTTTAAACCTAAAGTCTACTTGACAACTTTATTTCATTCTTCAGTCTGGGTGGTGAGTCCTTTATGGGCCACACTGCAGGCACTCATTTGTTTCTGGGCTCCCATGTGAAGCACAACAGCTTTTCCAAGAGAAAATATAAATGTAGCTTGAAAGCTAGTTTATCATAGGCTCAACTCCCTACAGATTGCATAGGTGGGACCATGCCAAATTTGGAGGAATGTCCTGGACAGAAAGAACCAGTGCCATCCCAGGCACCCCCTCTGTGCCCGCATGTCCCCTTCTGTCTCTCCTCTAAGCGTGCACCATGCTTAGAGGTTCACTTTGCAAAGATGAAACGATCTGCATATTTAAAGAGTGCAAAGCAGCAGTTTTACGTAAGTCGTTTTAACACTAGAACTGCAAAAAAAAAAGAACTGAGCGCCACACAGTCCTCCTTATGGGACTTGGGCATATTTGAGACTTCTCAGTCACTAGGTCCTATCTTTGTTTCACTTGGAGTGAGTAGTCTGCTCATACACCAAGGTCCTACAGTTTACTGCTGTGGACTATTCCTTCAGTATCAAACAACACTGCTTTAAATGAAAAAAAAAAATCTTCATTTGTGAAACAAGAGGCAGCGACCAGAGTCTTGCTGCAGTGCAATATGCACATATGCAGCAGCAATACTGGCAGCATGCTGTTATTCTGAGTCCTAATTAATGACTGCTGAGTTGTGTCACATCAATGCTGGGCTCAGTCAGAGAGTGCGCTTGGAGCAGCCATGGCAGTGATTAGGCGGGCTGCAGGAAGCTGAAAAGGTGCAAAGGAAAGTGCCCTCCTAGGAGCACCTGGTATGCGGTACGTTCACAACGCCTGATATGCAGACTGCATCACATGCCCAGCGGGTTCGCTGGCAAAGGCGCTGCCCTGGAGAACGTGGTCGTGGTGAAGCCTTTTATTCAGTCGGACAAAAGTTTTAGGACAAGAGGCAACGGGCAGAAATTGATGCACGAGAAGTTCCACCTGAACATGAGGAAGAACTTCTTTACTGTGCGGGTGACCGAGCACTGGAACAGATTGCCCAGAGATGTTGAGGAGGCTCCCTCACTGGAGATATTCAAAAACCGTCTGGACGTAATCCTGTGCCATGTGCTCTAGGATGACACTGCCTGAGCAGGAAGGTTGGGCCAGATGACCCTCTGTGGTCCCCTCCAGCCTGCCCGGCTCTGTGACTCCGTCCAACGCCGCGCAGCACGGCCCGCCCGCGGCTCCGTGGGCGGTGGATGGCAGCGGAAGCGCAGCCTCCGCCCTGCCTGCTCCCCTCCCTCCCGCCGCCGTGACTTCCGGCGGCCGCTCTAGCCGCGCCGCGTCTATGCCCGCGGCGCCGGGGAATGTTTATTGTCGCGGGGAGTCGGCCCAGCACCCTCAACGCCGCCGGGCGACCGGCACCCACCGACCGGCACCGCGCCCCGCCCCGTCCTGCCCTGCCCCGACCGCCGCCCGGCCGCCCGCCCGCACGGTAACGGCCGCCGACGGGCCGCGCTCCTCCTCCTCGTCCCCCGCCTCCTCGCCGCCGCCTCGGGTCTGCGGGCCCGGCCCGCCGGGACCTGCCGCCGCCGCTGGACCCCCGCGTCCCGCCCCTGCCCAGCCGAGGGGAGGGAGGTGGCGCGGGGCCTCCCCCGCCTCGCCGAGGCCCTGCTGGCGCCTCCTGCCGCGGTACCGATCGCGCCCGGGGCGGGGGGTGTGCGCGGCTCGGCCGCCGTGCCGGGGAGGGGAGGGAAGGGGCAGGGCATGCCCGTGGGGACCGGCCCGTTCCCCGCGGCCCGGGGGCTGCCCGGGGGGCACCGGCGGCCCCGCGCCCGGCCCCGGGGGCATTGTGGCGGCCCAGTCCCCGCGGGCGCGGCGGCGGCGGCGGCGCTGCCCCAGGTCAGGAGCGCCTGCAGTAACCCGCGGGGCCGAGCAGCGGGGCCCGGCGTGGCCAGGCCGCCCCTCCGCCTGCGCTTTGTTCGCGCCCTGCCGGCCCAAGAAGTTTGGGGCCGGGGTGGAAGGGGAAGAAGGAATAGTTGTTAACCGGAGCGTTGGGGCGCTGGTGCACGTAGGGCTTTGAGTGAGGCTCCCGGCAGCGAGAATGGGAAGGCTGCTCGTGTTTCCTCAGTTGAGACGCGCAAATGGGAAATGGGAGGGGAGTGAGAGGCTTACCCGTTGT